GCGTTCCCAGCCTTGCCCCATTTCAGGCTGGACGATGTTAAAGGACTGGGTGGTAGAGGAAAGGCGGGAAGAGTAGACCGAGAGGACAAAAAGGTACGAGAACGAGGAAAACCGATGGAAGAGGACGAGGAGAAGAATGAGAGGGACACAAATCCATGCGAAATTCGCGATTTCTGGCATGGAACAAAACAGTCAAGCTATTTTGTTTTGATAACCAATAAAATCAATACCAGCAAGACCGTCATTTCAGATGGGGATATAATTGGAACCTCCGAGTTATCCATACAGTACATAAGCACGTCCCAAATAGCTAAACTCACGAGTTGCGACTAATGTCTGCGACTCACTAACAAGCATTCCACGAACGATGTACAGCCCAGGTGTTGTACCGCTGAACGGATTTGCAGGCTGCAGATAGGAGATAAGCGCCTGAGAGGCCCGCCTGGACTGGCGCGTTGATCTTCTAATACCGGGCGTTTGACCCTGACACGACCCCCGTTGCAGCGACCAGCGCAAAACGATGGTCTCTGATCAGAGGCCGCTCCACTTTCGCCGGATGGCATCGCATCAAGGCGGCAATGTTCGCTTACCGCATCCTCATCCTTTCAAACCCGATGCCGGATCCTTGACTCTACCTGCCGGCCGCCGGAAAACGCGAGCACGAGATCGCGAGATCGCACGCGGCATGCGGAGAACACGAGAATAGAACACGGACCTCATCATTCAACGCGAGGTTTTGTGATATTATCCGCTTCATAACCTACATGGCAACACACCCGAGGCGCGCAGACGCCACTGCCCGATGCTCGGGGTAGGGAGAGGAGAGGAGGTAGGGGGAGGAGGAGAGGAGGTACGGAAAGAAGAAGAGGAGGTAGGGAGAGGAGAAAAGGAGTTACGGAGAGGAGGAGGGGAGGTATGGAGAGGAGCCCAGTACCCTGCTGCTGGATCTGGAGCCCGTGTTAAAATTTTGGTCACGATTAAATCGCTCGAGCGGCTCAGATGGTGGCCCTCCTAAACATAAAGCATTATCGGAACATCGACACCGCGGCAGAAGTGGTCTGAACTATGAGCTTTTCTGACTCCGGTGTGTCAGCGGAATGCTTCTGAGGGCTTTTGGCATCCCATGCGGGGTCAAAACATGGCCAGCCGCGATGAGCTACTCCACCCTTCTTGACGAAATTCGATGCTTTTCGTGAGGTTCAACCTCACGTGGTGTCGCCAATAAGGGAACAAACGATGGCTATCTTTCGTCATCAGTTAGGCTTATGTATGGGTACTTTTTAGTTGTATAGAAGTATTGTGCACAATACGGTTACGCGATAGATATCGATAAATCTAATTTGTATTTTAGAATGTGGCGTCTTATGTGTCAGTATCTGTGTGTATCCATATCGCTACTTGTGCCATCGTTCGGAAACTTGTCCGATTTCATTCCATGAAAAACGGCCATCTACCTAGCAATACGGTGAACAAAGTATTTCCGGCTCAAAAAGTGAGGAAATAGCAAGTAAATAGGAAGGCTGTGTTGGGTTGGATTATTTTGTAGGTACATAATTCAGCTTAAGTCCTATTTTAATTCCGTTCATAGCTGTCTTGATTATCTTACGATGCAAAGAAATAATTAGCATTGGCATTCCAGTCGCAGTGACCGATTGTTGCACTGAGAGCGTACGTGATCTTCGCCCCCGTACTTCAGTTCGTCGGCACCTAAGCCAACGCATAAGGCTCGACTTGGAGCAGCGCGTGTCCGGTTGATCTCATGCATGTGAGTAAGGCCGGATGTTGTGGACGTTTCTCGCAGGCCGCATGCATAAATAGTGTGCTAGTGAGCCGAGTCACCAAATATGGGTCGAGTGGTGCAGGCCGGTTGTGCACCAAGCTATACGGGTTTCCAGTGCAAATGCAGGGATCAGCGTCCGGGGCATTGGTCAATGATATGATCAATGATCGCGGGGATGATCAATGGTGGTTCCGGCCATGATGAATGATCAGACCTACAATTATTTAACAAACACCCATGGTTAACGCATCTGATGCTGAAACTGCTATCAGCAGCTTCCGGTGCTGAGTTATATTATGCTACACCATGCTATGTTATGTTGACGTTGCGTTCCTTGTCGCGTTGACCGTGCATGACGTACGCACAGGAAGAGGCACAAACGGGACAGGGAGAGAGGGGGCAAGAAGAAGGCCAGAGAGAGCGAGACAGGCAGGGTAAGAGAAAGGATAGGCAGGAAAGGGAATGATCGATGTTGCGGTTTCTTCCGCGGTGTCTCAACTGACTGGAGGGCCCGTATCGCATTCGTCCACATCATAACTAAACATGATGCGGAGAGCTCTCACTGGCCAGAAGTATCGTCTTCCATAACCGTGATTTCCTGGGCGGCCACCGGCGTTGACACGATATGTGGCTGCGTACCAGTGACTCCGCCCGCAGCTTTGTTTTGTAAATTCTGTGGTGGAATACCCATAGGATAACTCCTTCAATAAGGGCCACGTGTCATTTCCAGCATCGAATGCCATGCAGTTCAATGCAATGCAATTGATGTAATGCATTGAAAGGCCGATGATCCGATCTCCGGATGTCATGAACCACGAGCATGGCATTCAGCGCACGCTGGATTTCAAGTGGGGAGTTTCGCGACACGGGTCGATAAGGACTTACCAATGCGCGATAGAATACACGGAAGCATCAACGGTGTCCGTCTACGACGGGTGCGAGCGAGGACCGCAAACCAAACCACCGCAAACCACCGCAAACCACCGCAAACCAGCCTGTCATTATCGGCCCGGGTAGCCCGCCCTCGAAACAGGTCTAGCGTCACGGAAGATAGCCCGCTCTGAGAAAAGGCTGCAGGGGAGTCGGTCCTGCCAGGACAGTGACATTGCTCGTGACGTCACGGTGACGTCGTTGGGAGTGGTCGTGGATGGCCGCACGGCAGCACGCGCTGCCGTCAGGATGCCCGCTGGCGCCCCTAGGCCGGGTTTTCCGCCGGGCCTCTGATTACCTGTTCTCGAGCATTGCCCGGTATGTGTGATAAGGCTTGATAAGTCTGATAGCAGGTGATTTGCTGATACTGAGAGAGCTTCGTTTGTCTTCGGGACTGAGTGAGAGAGCCTCGTTTGCCTTCGGGACTTAGTGAGAGAGCTTTGTTTGCCTTCGGGACTGAGTGAGAGAGCCTCGTTTGCCTTCGGGACTGAGCGAGAGAGCCTCGTTCGCCTCCGAGGCTAAGAATAGTGTGACCACTTGTTGCGAAATGCGTCGTCCGTGATTTCTACGCCGAACTCCCGGGAGGGTTTAAGGACAGTTCGATGAACCAAGTCATCACTGCTCACTCACTTTTGAAGCCGGTTTATGGCGCTCTGAGTACTGAATAGTGCAGTGTCAAATGAGCGTTCGTTTCTCATTCTGGTGGAATACATCTGAGTCGTAGAGTCCAGAAACGACAACACTGACTAGAGCTTCAAATATTAATCATCAAACGATTTTGGAATGTTACGACCGTGGCCCTACCACGAACCAATCTCCACGCAGCGGCAGTGCGCTGACGCATCGAATCGGGCCTCTCAACGCGAGCCTGAACGTCATCTGTATGCCCGTTGGCACTCCGAGCAGCGCGGCATAATCTGGCTGGCCTCTGACCTCGTCCACATTCACATCCTCACGTCCACATCGTGCGGAGCGCGCGCACGATTAGTACCCCGATCACCTGTCTGACAGGTGATGCCGCCGTGCAGCCTTGGCGGCGAGGCTGTGTCGGACACGTACAGCACCGGTTGTTCTGGTCCTCGCCTTGTTATTAATGCCGTCTGCGAATGCACCGCTTACGGGAGTCGGCGCGCACGATCTCCGGACTCGCGGACGTCGTCCTTGAAAGAAGCCGGAGTTTGTTGATATCCTCCGTGCATTTGACGTTCGTCTGGCGCTCGGTAACGACGGGAGCGGGAGGTTTGCCAATGATAGTCGTGACCCTCGGTCAGGGCGTCCGGAGCCGAAGTCGCCCATGCCTTAGCAAGCAGGTCCAGGACGGACTGGACGGCGGCTCACTCCCTGTGGTCGTTGCGGGATTCTTATTTTTGACCCGTATAGGTACTGAATGCACACAATGAGCTTGTGTGAGTCTATGCACTTTTACCCGTGGAGGAACTATGCCGTGATCTCGGCGCTCCCGATAAAAGACGGTATGTTTGATCTGTCTAGGTATTGCGTCGACTGACCGTGCCGTAGAAGTTCGGTTGGGCTGCGCTTCCGCCCCGCTGAGCTGATCGTGGCCCCACCTGCTGGAAAACAGGGCGATAAAACACACGTGGCGACTATTGCCTGTCAACACTGGGTACAGGAATCTTATCGCATCAGCAAATCTACGCCGCTTACACCAAGTCACGGCGGCTGTAAGAGATAGGCAGCATTTAGGTGGCTCTGCAACATGCGCTATAAAACGTTTTTTCAAAAGTTTGATTTCTTCCGCCTTTTTTCGCACTCAGTTTGGCAGTTCCCGGATATCAAAATCCTACCATCAATAGGGCCCCAAACGCATTCCACAGCAGTCCCGTCCTTCCGCGAACGCGCATACATGCCGATCCATGGCGATTGTGAAACTACGAGAAGTTATCAAATTCCCATCTTCGTCTCCTCCGCCCGGTGCGTATCGACCGGTCCCAGTCATGTGCGACGCTCACTTCCGATGGCAGCGCCGCCACACGCCTCTCCCCCTCCCCCTTCCCGTATCACCGGCCGCCGCGATCATTATCAGCTCGCTCAGCTGACCGCCGCCGACCGCATGACCGCGACGTCTCCGAGGTTAAGACGCGGCGCTGATTAGATAACCCCGGCGGCCGCAGAGGGGATGGGACACCGGGAGGACGGCGCAGGACCGGTCTCGGCTCAGCACAAGGCCGACGCGCGGCGCGGCGCGAGCACGCGCGGCGGACGACGCCGCCGGAGACGGCGCCTCACGCCTGGCCGGCGAGAGGCCAATAGGCGGAAGTGGGTGTGGTCGGGCGGGCGGTGCGCGCGGAAGTGCGGCGGAGGGCGAGGAGGACCGGCCCGCGGGGAGGACCTGTCCGGAGAGGAGACGTCCGGTCGCGCCAGTCGCGCCGCGTGTCCAGAGGGAGGCGGCTGCTGAGCCACCGAGCTGCGAAACACACGAAGCTGCGAAGCTCACGGAGCTGTGAATTGTACGGAGCTACAAAGCTCACGGAGCTGCGAAGTGCACGGAGCTGCGAAGCGGCCCACGGAGCTGCAAAGCGGCTCACGGAGCCGTGAAGCTCACGGAATTGCGAGGCAGCTCCGTGAGCTGCGAAGCGCACAGAGCTGCGCAGCTCACGGAGAGCCGCCGCCGAGCGGCGGAGCGGGCCGGCCCGTGCCTCTCGCGCCGGCGCCCGTCCTGGACGGGCCGGACGGCTGTGCGGTGTTTGTGCGGCGCTGGCACGTGCGTTAGGTCCTGTGCGGTGTTTGCTTGGCGCTGGTACGCGCGTTAGGTCCTGTGCGGTGTTTGCTTGGCGCTGGTACGCGCGTTAAGTCCTTTGCGTGGTGAGCTGAGGTCGCCGTCGCCATGTCGCCTCCCCGCCAGCCGGACGTACCGACTGGAAATGTCATCAGAGGTGAGCAGCTGCCGGAGCGAAGCGTCACGGAATTTTTAGAAAAGTTAATGCGGAGTAGATGTTTGACGCGGTAGCGGAGAGACGCAGTGGCATTGCGAAAGCTTCCGGTAGAAAGTCAACCGGAAGCCCTGACGTCACTGCAGCGGGTTCACGTAAACGTTGGCGTGGAGGATTAGTGGAGCGTCGGCGCAGAGCGTATATGAGATCCGACAAGTTACAGTCATGAAACGGGTCTGGAGTTCCCAGAAACGTGCTGTTGTCACTGACAAAGCAGGACTTTGCCGGAGATGGAGGTCATTTTAATCGCGGGGACACGTCCTGGTGTACTCAGCCAATCGCCCTGCGGAGACAGAGCGGAGACTGTGGTTAGGGTGGGCCAACGGCCGTGATGGTCGTCAAGTGGAGATCGGCTTAGACAAGGGCCTGTAGAAAAACATGTGAGAAAATTTTCGGTGTGGTTTTCCGAGTTCACCGACCGTTCTCCGAAGTACTGCGGCGCAAAAGCCGTTACCTCGAGCGTGTGGCGTCTTGGGAAATCAAAGCTGCACTGATATTGCAAGCCGTGCTCGAGTGTCGAATTATCGAAACATCGCACTGAACCAGTGGCAGTGGCAGCGGCGTCACTGTATGTACTTTCGAGAGGCTTGAGCTCCCTCCCCTAATGCTGATCTGAGTGCCTCAACGAGACGGGCAATGAGGGAATACCGGGCAAAATAAATGCGGAGCAATTATTGCAACTATTTCTCCGCAGGGAAAAATTTAATCCACAAAATATTTCAGAACGTTGTTTTACATTGAGAACGCAAATTCAAGGCACTGAAATCTGAGTAGAATTGAGGTTTGAGGGATATGTTAGGTGAAGGGTAGGTTAGGACATAATTTTCGGCTCAGCCAAAAATGATGACCTTTTTACGTGTGTCTGTCTGGTTCACGAAGATTGTTTTTAAAAGAAAGCCACCGCAAAATACTTTGATGTCTGAATGGAGGTGTTTGCTAACCATTTTAGAATCCAGTGGTTTCAAAACTTCTGGGTCAAACCACCAAACAGCACACGCATTCGATTTGGAGGCGTTTTGTTCTCTCTGAAATGATCTGTTACGAAAAGGTCTATTGTAAAGTGTGAAACCTGAACACATGGTCTGGCTGCACAATATCAGAGTGCTGGCGCATGTCTGAGCCATTCATGGACCCGTATATGAGTCAAGGACGCATGGATGACGTCACTGGTCTCCAGCACCGGCTTCCATGGGACAAAAGCATTAGTTTCATAAGGCAAAGGCATTCACCTCATGCGGTCTTATGTAAGCTCTTATTATTGGCAGAGAATGTTGGGGTGTTGCTGCATATGCAGGTCACGGTCGGATCACTTTTTTTGTTTTGCTTCAGTTGCTCGCAGAAGATGAAACAACAAACATCCATTACTGCTGAACCACGTGCTGTAAACACGTCTTTATTGCCGCCGGTGTCCCACAAAAAAGATCCTAAACTTTTTGTGATTAGTGGAAACGCATGAAGCCACCGCATCAGCACAGCATGGTGTAATGCCATAAACGCGATCATCTCGCAAGACAGGCGCAGTAGGAACCTAAAGCAGGGATACTTATCAAGCATATATGCGGGGATGCATAGCCCGGGAATTATAATGCAGGGGCGTCTGATTCCGTTGATTGTCTAACTAGGCATTCAAGAGATAAAGGATCAGGTCATGACCTAGTTCTGCAAGGCATTTGAGCATGTGTATTGCACTTAAAGGCTTATGAAGTGCAGTTGCTGATGTGGTTTTCAATACAGTTGTTGCTTTCTTATGTTCATATCTCGAATCGATGCCGGCCATAAAAACAACACGAAATGAAGCCTACCTTTTTAACCTGTCATTTCAAAGTCAGCCTCGTGCAGATCATCAAGATGCAGCTTGCGTTATTGGTCATCGTCGATCGACCAGACGGTGAATCAAGCGAGCGTATTGGTCAGTCTCCTTACAAGCCATGGTAACGTGAAGCTCACGTGCTCACACCACAGCCCCGCGCAGTACAGCACAGCCCAGCGCAGTACAGCACAGCCCCGCGCAGTACAGCACAGCCCCGCAGTACAGTACAGCCCCGCGCAGTACAGCACAGCCCCGCGCAGTACAGCACAGCCCCTGCGCAGTACAGCACAGCCCCGCGCAGTACAGCACAGCTCCGCGCAGTACAGTACAGCCCCGCGCAGTGTAGTACAGCCCAGCGCAGTACAACACAGCCCTGCGCAGCGCGGCAAAGCCCCGCACGAGGATGGCGAATACCCTTATTTGATTCCCTGCACCCTTCAGCGTCCAGGCAGCGTCGGGCACACCCCTCCAGTGTAACGCTCGTGACGCAAGACACCGCTCGCCGTGGCGCCAGCGCCTGGCGCACCCTTCTCCCAGCCTGACGCTCGCGATACGACACACCTCGTCTCGTGCACCAGCGCCTGGCCCATCCATCCCCCCCACCCCCCCCCCCCAACCCAACGCTCGTGACACGAAGCCCCTCGTCTTGTGCGCCAGCGCCTCGCGCTCTCCTCCAACCCGACGCTCGTGGCGCTGAACACCTATCGTCTTGTGCTCTAGAGTCCGGCACAACCCCTCCCCCCTCCCACCCTGACGCTCGTGACGCTGAACACCATCGTCTTGTGGCACTAGATCCCGGCACACCCCCTCCCCCAGCCTGACGCTCGTGACGCTGGATATCCCACGTCTTGTGCGCCAGGAGCCCGGCACACCCCCTCCCCCAGCCTGACGCTCGCGACGCTGGATATCCCACGTCTTGTGCACTAGATCCCGGCACACCCACCTCCCAGCCTGACGCTCGTGACGCTAGACATGCCACGTCCCGTGCGCCGGCGCTGGGCGCCCGTGTTCTCGACGCGCCAAACCGTTATCTGCGGCCAATTGCGTGACCGTTGGGTCGGCGGGCACCGCTGAGGTTATCTATTCACCTGTTGAACCCCGGACAGCCAGGTCGAGCCACCCTGAGACCGAATCTGGGCGGGCCAACACACAGCCGGATGCGTGCAGTTGGCGCGTCCTACCGAATGGTAAACGTTGGAAAGGGGGAGACACGCTCCAAATCGCTTTTGACGCGTCCAGTTTGACCATTGTCCCTCCTGATCTTGTGTCCCATTTTGACCACGTGCACGCATTTTGACCATCGTCGGTTCGGCGCTCCGCCCTGCCGCGCGTGATGACCTTGTGTGTGTTCTGCCCGGCGCGATGACCTTGCGTGTGTTCTGCCCGGCGCGCGATGACCTTGTGTGTGTTCTGCCCGGCAGTTTTGGCGCCGATCATGGCCCCGCGCGCCAACTCTGGCCTCGAGACCCACGAGGAAGAGATAATTGGCGACTCGCCGACGTTGGAGCCATACCTGCACCGCGTCACTAACGAGACGTCAGGTGAGGAGCAGGCGCAGGCGCAGCGGACGTGCCGGAGCTCGGTGTCCCCCCCCCCCCCCCCTCTCAGCATTGCGCCTGGGTTGAGGGGCATGTTCGGAATGTTAGCGAAGTACTTGAGAATGAAATCGACGAGAGCGAAGTGTGTTTGTTTGCACTATCGTTGGTAGTCGAAACAAACGCAGCATTTGGGCTAGTCTAGTTCGGCCTCGTCTCTGCCTCCCCTTGAGTCTGTCCCTGTAAGCACGCAGCAGAGCAAGTCAGGAAACGTGTAGAATTAGTGAAATTCAAACTTGAAGTGCTGTCCCAAAGATGTGGAAACTTGGCCCTGTGGTGTGTCACCTCCGGTTTTGATACGCAATTTTGGTTGTGGACACTGCCCACTGTCACTGCTCATGTGTGCTTGGACTTGTGGCTAGGCGCTTTCAGCAACCCTTGTGTCTGAATTGCTCGACTGTGCTCGAATGATTTGCAGTTGATCCTGGCGGGGGTGAGGGGGCAAGGTGTTTCTGTGTTTTAAAGTCAATTGCACAAGCTCGAAAAACATTAAAAAACTGTCTAAGGGTGCAAATCATCCACAAACCGATATTCAAAAGAACATCCAAACCTCAGTCATATAAACTGCTGTCTAACGCGTCTGGTTTGTGAAATTTAACGCACCTGCTTGCATGTCAAGGATAGACCGAATGCCAGTGTACCGTACTCGTCAGCTATGATGCACATGTGTTTCGCACAGACCGCTCTGGCCAATCCCTCCAAAGCACATCAATGCGCATATTGCGCATTGCGTTCGATTCTTCTTTCGTTCACTCTCTGACGTCACTTTGCGCGTGATGAGCGTTTCGCCAGCTGCTGCGCGTAAACATAAGGGAGCGCGTGACCTTGATAGGAGCCTCTCGCGTGTCACGTGGGCCGCCACTGATCTTGCCTGCCAGATTATACGGTCATGCTTCGGAGCGACACCGAGATAAGATTCGATTCTTGGCAGCCTCATGCCTTCGTGTCGTGATGCAGGCAAGGTCTGTAGGTTGTCTTCCGTATGGTCGGGCTGTTTGGTTTTCCCTTGTTTACGTCACCAGTGAAATGATACGTAATAGTCGCCTTCACGAAGGATTACTGCACGGAGTGACTTCCCGAAAAGAAGCATTTCTGCACGAAATGCGCTAATGCTTGGAAATTTCTAGCAGCGTCCGGGCAGTGCCAGGCATGTAAAATTTGTCCCCGCTGTCATCTTGAGTAAGAAATCTTAATGTAACTCGATAAGGTTGTGTCGCCAGAGGCGTGAAACAATCATTATTAATGCGTGGACTGATTGGCTTTCAATGATACTTGTTATTGTGTTCAGCAAAAATAGCCGAAAGGGACTGCAAAGTGTCTCGAAGCTGCCTCAAATGCTGACGAAGCGAAGACAGCAGAACAGGTCTGTGGGTTGAAAAGTACATGCGACCGCAAGACGGCAAAAACAGGCTCTAAGGTGAAAAATACTGGCAAATCCAAGACGCCAGAAAGACTTGCCAAAGGTGTAGAACAAAAAACGCTGAACGTCCGATCATTCGGCTTAGTTTCCATATAACTGTACAACATTCCGAACTTGCCTCTCCCCCCCCCCCCCCCCCTCCCTCTCCCTTGCTTCGATGTTTAACCTGCCCTCGCGCTGAAGTGCGCCTCTTTCCATACGAAAAAGACCTGATGTTGTCCCCTGGACAGGACTTTCGACCCCCGTGACTTATAACATCGTGAGTGGGCTTTCGGGCGTTCGTTGTCACTCAGATAGGCTTTGCTCATAGCCATGTGTCGACAATTCTGTGAAATCTGTAGATTGTCCCTGCGACAGAAACGTACGAGAAAGATAACGAAACGCGACCGTTATCTTGCATTCGGAATGTTACCTTCATGACGTGCTGCAGCTGCAGATACAGCTTTGTGTGTCCATATTACACACAAGTCCCACGGAAGTGTCCACCTGATCTCCCGAAGTTCGCCAGTCTTTGGTCCCTTCTTGATTTGCCTTTCGTGTATTTTTTTCCTTTCAACAATGGCGATTCGTGCATCGAGCGTTTAATGCCTTATGTGATGCCTTAATGCCTTATCCCAATGATGCTCATCTGAACACTTTCTCTGTTTCAGAACACGAATACGATGAGCTCGGCAAAGAAGAAGGTAAGACCAAACGCATCGGGCCCGTCTTAGATTTGAAGACAGCTTGCCGAATCCTTGTGTCTTTCCTCCTTATCCCGTGTTGTCTTCTAAAGAATGCCTCGCCATTCAACTCAAGTGTAGTTTTGAAATAGAATTTCGGGCCGCTAGGTTGGATGAAGTCCTGGGACTAAAGATCGCATTAAGCAGTTTATATCGTGCGAACCCTGACAGCACAATCCGATGGTGAAACTCCAGGTCAATCGCATGATTCTGCGGCGAAGCTATAATCTGCCCCAATGCTTGGCTCGGTCACTTCCATCCTGTGACGTCACGTGACCCCAAGCGCGGTCACTACCACCGGCCGCAGTCCCTCCTAGGCAGGGGTAAACAGTGAGTGCCACCGACCCCCAACCCCCCCCCCCTCACCCGCATCCCCAACCCACGGTCGAGAAAATCCGAAGTCAGGCGCTTCAGTCAACTGAGCTACGCGAACCGTCTATTAAGATGATTGCTTAATGATCGTTAATTCATGTAAATGCTTGGCCAAACTAGCGTGCGAGTAGTTTCTACCAAATAGCTCGCGTCCTCATTCCTGTGGAGTTTCTTGTGGCGCTGGCTTGTGGTTATCTAGTGGCACGGGTATTTGGGGACACAAATTAGTATGTGCGACGCGCCCCGCGTGTTATTATGTGCGCCTCATTTGTTTTCCCACTTTTAAATTGCATTTCACCATCCCGCATCAGCGTACTTGCTTCGCTAGTGATGTAGCTCGGCTCCTCATCGACGCCAACAAAGAGGTCGTCGCCGTTATAAGCCCGCACTCAGCAGCTGCCCCGTAATGAAATACACAATGCGGTCAACAATCGAAAGTGAATCTATTATGAGGTTCAGGTCCCACCTGCTTCCGTGTCCAACAAGACCATAAACCAGGCTGAGGGATGTGTTCAGTCAGGATAATAGATCAGCTCGAGTTGTAAGTCAGGCTAATGGTAATGAATGCATGTGCGGCGTTTATCATGCAAAGGAAGGTTTTGTGAATGGAGGCACTGACAGCCCTCTTTCTCTTCCACGACTTTCTCCATGGCTCGTAGCGGAATCCCCATGAAGGTGGTTGTGTCATGTGGTGCATTTAGTTCACTAGTGAACTAGTTCAGTTTAGCACTGGTTCAAAAAGCTTGTTTCTAATGCTGACCGCTGCCTGAATCGCAAACATTATGAGGAGGCAGTTACCCCGTTCCATTTTGAAGTGCGCCGGTTCGATGTAACACTTAAAGGAATATCCGCTCGTGGTGGTATAGTATTGGGCGGGTGAAACCCGATAAGCCGAACCAATGCCCCGGACTGTCGGACCGAAACTGCAAGACACCACAATGTACCGTGACGTCATATGTGATATGCTGTGATGTCATAAGCTGAGGTGCCGCAAGACGAAGTGACACCGACCCTCTTGACCGGCAGAGGGACAGGAGAAGATTTCCATTATCGTGGGAATCGTCGTGGCTCTCCTGCTGGCCATCCTCATCGTCATCGTCTGCGCTGCTGTCATAAGGTGGGTGACGTCACTGCTGTCTCGCGCTCAGATGTCATGAGGTGGGTGACGTCACTGCTGTTTCGCGCTCAGATGTGATGAGGTAGGTGACGTCACTGCTGTGTGGCGCTCAGTTGCGATCTGCCATTCGTTTGGGCATGGGCCGATATCCTGCCGGTGTTGTCTTTAGACGCTGCTGGAACATCCAGAAATTGGGAGAAATCAGCGATTACAGAGAAATCGCATCCGATCCTTTTTTCCGATGATGCAGCGGTTCGGCTGAAAGACGTCGCTATCATCCCGTAACGGGCTGTTGTATCTATTGATCCCCCGGGACATACGCGCGCTTTTTAAATCAGAGACTCCTTTCCATCCCGACTCCGATGCTATCAGTCACAGGCTTACAAATCTCCGCCTCACATATGTCGATTCGGCTGGACTTTTGAGCGGCGGTAATGCTTCGCCGCGTTTTCCCTCCATTTCCGGTCGGCCGACGGCCGTATAACAGCCTGGATTGCAAAATGGCGCGGAAAGAACGGCCGGCGCGCCAACAAAAGAAAGAGTCGGAAGAGTCGACGCGGACCCCCGGCGCGACATCGCGAATGTCGGGAGCACCGCCTGGCGGTGGGGTCGTTACGACACAGGTGCCCGTGTGACGCGCGTCGAAGAGATCGTCACATAAAACACGCAGATAGCAGACGCGGCGCCGGCCCGGTCTGTTGGGTCCGTTACCCTCGTGCGCCAGGTGAAAGCGCCAGCAGGACGCGGTGATGGACGTGGAGGGTAACCCTGCAGGACTCCGACGAGTTCCGTCGGGAGATGGCGGTACCGACCTCGTGGCTGAATTCGCAATCTGCCGGACACGACGCTACTCTGTAGCCGGCAGTCGGTAGATGCGGCACTCTTACAGCCAAACCGATGAGACAGCTCGTTACTCGAGACAGAACGGTCCAGTGGCGAGTAGCCGCACCGCCTTCGGCGCAAAAAACTAGCACCGGTAACTGGGGGGGGGGGAGGGGGGGACTGGCACGAGCCGGCCGTGTTTCTGACCTGGCCGTAACCGGGGCCAGCCTGTCGCGCGTTTTGTCCAGCATCGTTTGTTGTCTGGTGTTGATGGGTGCTGAGTTGAAAGCAGAAACTGCTCAAGCGGTTCCAGCTTGGCACTCAAGGAATTGTTTGATTGGAGATTCAAATAAAAAAAAGATTGGAGAATCAAATTTTAAAAAATTGTTTCTGGAGGCTCAGATCGGTCCTTGTTCTTTCCTGCGGACTTGCTTTTCTTTCTTGCGTATCAGCATGGTTTCAGCTTCCAAGAGCGCTTAAGAAAAGCTTTCCTTCCATACTCATCCGCGTCGTTCCGAGGTGGCTCTCACTCCCAGAATTATGTTTCACCTGGAGACAGCCCATGAACCTGGTTTTCTGCCATTAGACACACGTATGCATCCTGAAAGAGAAGTACTGCGCCCTGTCTAACAGCTCGGGAGGTCTATTAGACACACGTACGCATCCTGAAAGAGAAGCCTGCGCCCTGTCTAACAGCTCGATATTTCTATTAGACACACGTACGCATCCTGAAAGAGGAGTATTGCCACCTGTCTAACAGCTCGAGAGGTCTATAAGACACATGTACGCATTTCTGAAAAAGGAGCATTGCGCCCCTGTCTAACAGCTCGAGAGGTATATTCCGTCTCTCAGACACAATCCTCATCCGACTGACTTTCCGGACCAGTCAACCACCTCCTACTCCCCTGCACACAGATCTCGGACCAATCAATCACTCCCGTTCTCTCTCGCAGACAGATTTCGGATCAATCAACCACCTTCTACGCCCCCGCACACAGATCTCGGACCAATCAGTTACCCCCTACTCCCTTGCAGACAGATCTCTGACCAATCAACTGCCCTCCCCTCCCTCGCAGACAGATCTCGTCCGTTTGCAGCCGGGCCACTCCGAACGTACCCCTGCTGACCCGACCTGGTTCGCCCAGCCACCCAGCCCGTCCCCGTCCCCAGGCCGGGCGGATGGGGACCGCCGCTCGCCCAGCGGCCCCTCCCCCCCTCCCGCTCCTTCCTGAGGGGCGCTGTAAGACCTCACCCACGAGTGGGCTGGCACCAGCTCACCTTCGGACTCGGGCGAGGCCGGGCCCGTGCCTCAGCCCGGTCTGCAGGCGCCGACCCCACCCTCCAGCGGACCGGTGCTGTCGCCACTTCCTGGACCGCGGCCCTTTGACAGCGTCCGCCTGTTTGTGTTCTCTCGGAGGCGAACGGTCGTGTCTCGAGGTGTGTCCCTTTGTCCAGGTGGAACCGTTAGGCGTGTGCGGTGCAGAACCTGATGGCAAAGCACGTTTTTCTGCGATTGTGTACGTACAAGCTGAAGATTCAGCGTATCTATATCTTGAAAAACGGGACTCTTGCTTGGGGCTTGTTTTTCAGTCAGCTCGTGCTTAAGGCAGTGAAAAGGCCGTCATCTGTTTGTTTTCCTTTTTGTTTGTCATTTTATTTAAGTGACCGCCTACAGCTGCCGGAAGGGAAACGCCTATCTCATGACGTCAGTTGGCTGCATGCACTCACCATGACGCTTGCAGCAATTACCGTGCAGTATCCCTGATGCCACAGGGCTATCGATACGTGGATGAACGTCCAGAAAATTGTCCTATGCATAGGGTCGGATATCGCTGACTGGAGCCAGTGTATTGTCTCTTTTTTACCGAAGCGCCTGCAAATTTCTACGTGCAACACCGAAACTTGTATCTCCAAAAGCTTGTAAAATCTAAGGTACGGAAGAAAGCCTCCTCGCTCGCTCAGAGATTCAGATCTTCCCTATCCCCATGACAGGAGGCCCGGGGTGTAAGCTCTCCGTGGCAGGCAGGAGGATGACCACCACTAACACCTCCCTCTCTGCGCCCGGCAGGAAGATGACCACCACTGACACCTCCCTCTCTGCGCCCGGTAGGAAGATGACCACCACTGACACCTCCCTCTCTGCGACCGGCAGGAAGATGACCACCACTGACACCTCCCTCTCTGCGCCCGGCAGGAGGATGACCACCTCTAACACCTCCCTCCCTGCGACCGGCAGGAAGATGACCACCACTGACACCTCCCTCTCTGCGACCGGCAGGAAGATGACCACCACTGACACCTCCCTCTCTGCGCCCGGCAGGAGGATGACCACCTCTAACACCTCCCTCCCTGCGACCGGCAGGAGATGACCACCACTGACACCTCCCTCTCTGCGCCCGGCAGGAGGATGACCACCTCTAACACCTCCCTCCCTGCGACCGGCAGGAAGATGACCACCACTGACACCTCCCTCTCTGCGCCCGGCAGGAGGATGACCACCTCTAACACCTCCCTCCCCGCGACCGGCAGGAGGATGACCGCCACTGACACCTCCCTCTCTGCGACCGGCAGGAAGATGACCACCACTGACACCTCCCTCTCTGCGACCGGCAGGAAGATGACCACCACTGACACCTCCCCCTCTGCGACCGGCAGGAAGATGACCACCACTGACACCTCCCTCTCTGCGACCAGCAGGAAGATGACCACCACTGACACCTCCCTCTCTGCGACCGGCAGGAGGATGACCACCACTGGCACCTCCCTCTCCGCGCCCGACAGGAGGATGACCACCACTAATATCTCCCTCTCTGCGACCGGTAGGCGGCTGACCACCACTAACACCACCCTCCTCTGCGAAGGGTAGGAGGACGACCACCACTAACACCTCCCTCTCCATGACCGGCAGGAGGATGACCACCACTAACACCTCCCTCTCCATGACCGGCAGGAGGATGCGGCGTCGTGGCGCCCGGCTACCGGCGTCGGCCGAGGACGGCAAGGGCATCCGACTGAAGCGCGTCAAGCCCGGCAAGGGCATGGTGGACGACTACGACGGCGAGCCGAGTCCGCTCGACGACCTGCACGACCCCTTCCTCCAGGTGAGGCTGCCCCGCCTGACACCGGCAGCCGTCGAGCACTGCAGCGTCCTGCGGTGCCGCGGCGGACAGGGTCTGCGTCGACAGCCGTGCTGGAGCGGAGCGTCGGTACTACGTGCCGCTTCGCATGCTACTTCACAACGCGAAGCGGCACCCGGACCAGTGCGGGTGGACAGCGCACCCAGCCATGACCCTGGCCAGGGTGCTAGCTGTCACTGCTGCGCCGCGTTCGCCGCTGCCGGCCCTTGAGGCACGCGCGAGATGAGGACCGAAACAGCATCACGGGACCACCGACAGCCTCTTTATCCCGTATTTGTCGTGGATGATCGGCCTCTCGGTGCAGAGGATGCCTTTTCATTGCGTGCCCGTTGAATAACAGTGTGTAGCGTTTTACTTCCTCGTTGCTGAACAGCTTTGCTCTGTGCGATCTCTCTCAGACCTCTTCAACCTACATTGTATTTATGCTCTCCATCCATGTCCACTTCTGACGTTCCCTCGCCTCCACTTGAATTCACCCATTAGGACGGATTCGTTAAAAGCCGCCAAGGCGTGTGCATGTACGGATATGTGCAGTCCAATGTAGTAAAACTGTTCCCGATGCCAAGCCGTATCGTGCATAATGGAGCGATGCAGCCCACAGGTGTAGCGGTGCACAACAGAACTTCGAACACCGTCATCCGACTGTTACTGATTTTGGGAGGGGAGAAGCTTAAAAATGCAGAATTAAACGTAGGATGACAGTTGATTCGGTACTATCGGCGCTCCGCCAGTTCTCTCAAGCCAGCGTTTCCCGTAAATTTTCGAGCACTTGGAGACGTGGTGTTTTCCATCTTCAGAGGCCTTTGTGGCCGCCGTCCAGTGCTGGGACCGTTGTGCTAGCCCTCCTTTCTGTTTCAGTTTGTCTACATCCCACCCAACCGAGGACTGAAGCTGTGGAAGGGCCGGCTCAAGATCATGACTAGGCACGTCAGAGGTCGCTGCTGCACAAACAGATAGAGATCCACGGCTGCACTATCCCAGAACACTGTAAAGCGCAACTCAAGCGGATATACGTGTACTGACGGACGGCGATGTGCTGAACTCTAGCCTTGCGCGGGCGTCGTTAGATGTCTCTACCGCGCCAGCGCAGTGGTGAAGTGTTTGAACGGGGGGAGCGCGCTGATTGGTCGAGCTGGTCTCGCGTCTGGAAGAAACTGGTTTTCTCCCAGCCCAACCGGAAACAGCGGCTCCCTCCATAGGCTTGTGCAACGCGGGTACAAACGGACCCCGGCGACGGAGGGAGCACCGGCCAGCCCGGCGTAGAACGAACTCGAACTCCCCTGCTTGCGGCGCAGAGCGTGGCCGCCGCAACATGCGCCAGGCGTGCGCGCGCCGCCCGGGTGGGCTGGAACGCGGCGGCTGCTGGGCGCAGCTCCAGTGCTTCGGTCGACAGCGGAGTGCCGTTCCCCGCCCGAGCGATGGCGCGTTATCGTGGGTGGTGAGCGTGCTGCCTTATCTACTACAGCGCTGCCACGTCAAGCTGGCTTCTGTGCTGTTTTACTTTGATTTGATGATATTCTGCTCCAAAACGTGCTCGGTTTTTTAGAAGCTGTAATTTCCATTGTGTCGGTGCATGCACTGAAATCGACGAGCTATTTCGTGAAAGTGCCTTAGCGACTGAGTGCGATGCGTTATGAACCACACCCATACGCGTGTATCAGTTGAAATGGCTTCTAAATTGCTCGATAAAAGCCTCAGCATTTCATGTGCACTTGCACTTTCGTCCAGCTGTAGTTTCGGGCTGAGTCGGTGCGCACATAATCCCTTGACTGTGTGTGTGCATGTGCTCCCTGCTCGATCGCATGTTAAACTAACATAACGGATGTAAGCCCACCTGTCGCACCTACCGTATAGCCAGAACGTGCCATGTATGGTCGGATTCTTAGGAGCTGTGTTATCCCACGAGCCATTTATTGCGTGATGAAGGAACTATTGTGCGAATGGCCACGTCGCCGACAGATGTAGGATTTTTTTCAATCGGTTAGATCGGACTAAGCACAAACGGTGCCTTATCAACGCTAGTGTGGTCACTGCCTGAGGGTTAAGAATCTGAAGCGTTTTTTCCTTATAGGAAGATTCCTGCATAACAATCGCGTGAGACTAAACACTTCTTGACAGAAATCTTCATGCAGGTTTCGTCAAGTGAACTGCAACGCTAAATTTTCGACCGCATTTTATTTCCACATTTGCGTCAGAAACGTTCAATGTATTTATTCACAGGTTATTTATTTTACGTATGCATAGCTTTAAACTGCTCTAATTCAATGAGTCATTACGTAGACCTCCACTTTCATTAATTTTCAGTCCTGCACCGCTGTGCCCAAAAGATGGTGGCATGAATTTTTGTGTAAAATGAGAAGCAACAAGTCATAACATTCTGTTTCGTGGCATTGATGCTGTGAAACTCGATCAAACATGCACTTTACAGCTGTAATTTTGCCAGCCACTGCTTTAAGGTTAAAGGTGTAGCTAACAAAGGCTGGAATGAACTTCTCGTCGCCTCTCACCCTCTTGGAGAAAGACACCGGTTTTGATGACAACTGGGTCTTTTGAGCAATAGCGGTGGACATTGTCCCACGGGGTCAGTCGCACTGCTGCTTTACATATACTTATGCGTGCCGAATTAGCTGTTTTTGGTACATATCATGTCCTCACTGACGCCAGGTGGCGTATCAGAAGCCTTGTCGCGCACCGCAGCACCCGCGAACCGTGTCGCTCCCCCATGCGCGTACCTGATCCGGTTGTGTGTCAGATGACAAGCGACCGCCTGGCGCTGAAGTCCGACGGCGCGCCGAACGATGAAATCGTGTGCATGGCAGAGCTAAGCGCGTGACGTCTGCTGCTAACGTCCTCTGATGAGTCTGAAGCATTGGCTTGGCGGCGAGCATTCCGCTAGTTGACGGATTGCGAGCAGAAATTGCTCCGGCGCGTCGTGCGGCGTGACGCGACCGGCCCGTTGTGTCTAATGTCCAAGCGCTGGGTGTCTGTGCTGGTTCACACGCTGGGACCAGCCATCCGGTGAGGTCCTGTGATGTCGCTGCCTGCCTCGGGCCCGTCACGTGCTAACGAACGGATGGTTTTCCCCTCAAGCCCCCCCCCCCCCCCCTCCCGTCCTCCTGTCCTTTCTGCTGCGTTCCGGTGGAATCTTTGTACTTGCCGCCAGGGTACGGCCACTGGTGTGGAGGACGACTGTAGTGTTGTCCGGCAGCAATAAATGAATAGCTAGAACCGAGCTTTTTGTGGGAAGAGGACTGTGCGTGCGGCTGAATGAGACGGAAGAAGGAGAATGTCTCGCTACCTGACGCCTGGTCGGGGTTCAAGAGTGTAGTGATGCAGGGTGCCGCGCTTGGGCGCCTGTCCTTCTGCGCTGCGCCGGCCGCCTGACACGTGACAAACTGCTCCAGCGTGCCGCTTAGCAGAAGTTTGCTTGTAGCCAGCGAACCGGCACGAAACGGCCCGGCCAGCAAGCGGGTCGAATGGGGCGAACGCTATCCAAATGCAACTCAGAGCCATGCGACAGGAACGGGGTCACTCGCGAAGTGGGGAGCGAGCGGACTTGCTCAAGTCACCGCTTTTGCGCCTTGGCCAGCTGCAATGAGCCGTCACGTAAAATAAGGAATAACTGAAATAGCTATAGAATTAGTTATAAAATGAAATTCAAGAATAAAACACGATAAAATCGCCATACATCGCATGAAATGTGAGAGCATATCAAGGCACTGCTTAGTGTGAACGTGAGTACTTTGCATACAACAAGCGTTGTGCAGTGTGAGCTCTGATCCCAGAAATCCATCCATTCAAAAAGTTCGGATTAAACCTTTAAAAATTCAGTTGGAACGAAAGAACTACTGTTTGATTAGACGGTTGGGTCAAGAAAGGCGACGTCAGCTCTGGATTGTGGTTAGTTGCCCTGATCACCAGAATTATCTGCAATGTAGACCAGTTTTGGCTATTTTTTGTTACTGACTAGCTTTCCGAGCTGACTAGCTACACCGTGAACTCCAAAGGCGTTGCGAGAGACTTGAAGAGGTCTTTGTAATAACTTATTTTACCTTTTTGTGGCAGAAGAAATAAATGTTTTCATTGGAAATTCTGAAACACTTTGAAGCTACAAAACAGGCGCACATCAAGTATGCATTGGAGATGAATGAAGTCACTCAAGCCGTTCTCGGTAAGTAACATGAGTTTGGTTTGATATCAGCTGCTTGGCCAATTTGGTGCCGGTTTGCCTCGGTGCCGGCCTGCTGTGTTCCCGCCCTGTTTACTCAATCCCGAAACCGTTCTCTGTAGCTCTGAACGCCGCCAGCTGGGCTGGCGGAGGGCGTACATTGGCTTATGAGCCTGCGAAGAAAGGTGATGGAAGGGTTAGTTAGAGTGGGGGTGGGGGTGGGGGTGGGGGTGGGTAGGTAGAGGTGGGGTGGGGGGTGCAGTCAGGGTCCACGGGGTGGTGTTTGGGATAAGCAATCAAATCGTAATTGCTGGAATGCCTAGGCCCACTACCGCTCCCGCTATGAAACGGGGTCCCCAGTAGTCCGTGTGTCCCCAGCTTAATTCCGCGATGGAATGTGCTTTCCGTTATGGTTGCTGCACCCTGTTACCATATTCAGGCAGTTTGCTAAGCGGTCTTTCTCCGGCAGCGTTCGTCCGACGGCACCCTCTATGAGACAGACGCCATCTACAGGACCTGCCACATTCGGAAGGTGGCGCCCTCTACAAGACAGGCGTCATCTACAGGACCTCTGCATTCGGAAGGTGGCCGCCCTCGTCGAACGGTTTGGTTGTTTGGAATGGAGCTCTCTGTGTCGGTCACGATCATTCATGACGGTAAGTGGTCCGAGGTTGTGCAGGGACCGACAATGAGAGCCTCTATGTCGATCATGCGCCACCAGTACGAACAGTCGGCTCCGTGTCGATCTGACCCTTGAGGGACATTTCCTAAGCAGGGGACAAGGCCGGTGTTCGATATGTGCACTGGTGGGGACCTCTAAAACACTAAGAATCACCAATGAGCGGCCAGGGCCCACTGTGCCTACAAGGGTTCCTGGGTCTGCAAGAAACCCCGAGTCGGCCAACTGAACAGTCAGCCAGAGGGCCTCGCGCGTTGGTCTGGGTCCTATGAGATTGAAGGGAAATGTGAGCACTTGTCATGAGAGCCCACAATGAGGCAGTGAAAATGACCCGTGCCAGTTAGCGACTCCTGTACTAAATGGACCCTCCACCCAATTCAGCTAGGGATTGGTCAAGCCGAATTGCAGCTGCCGTGTCAGTTATTGGGCCCATGTGGCGAGAAGGGATCTTTTGCGCCAATAAAGGCTCCTTCGTCGATCCGGGGTCCACCTTCGCGAGCTGGAAGACCTCCCCACGTTAGGGAGTGGACCAATGTATCATGCATCCCTCTGAGGGCATCCAGATGACCAGGTTAAGCCTGTTTGTGCCCCCAGGATTGTAGCCGGTTAGGAAGGTCTCCCACGTTAGGGAGTGGACCAATGTATCACGCATCCCCCTGAGGGCATCCAGATGACCAGGTTAAGCCTGTTTGTGCCCCCGGATTGTAGCCGGTGGTTACCCGGGCTGGGATGGTATCCCTTCAGCCTGACAGGGAAACAAATGCACTCTCTCGTGCTCTACCCACGAAACCCCCTGCCAGAAGAAGGCAAGGAACTCCTCAGTGGTCAATAGGGTGGGGCAGAAATGAGGTCAAAAGTAGCAGAGGACGTCCCTTATTTGCCCGAGAACGTCCATACTATTAAATAACAGATTAGCAAAGCGAATAACATTCCAGGATTTGGAGCCAGCGCGCTCGTTTATGTCGGGGCAAGAGCACCCGCGATCGGAGATGTGCAGTCTCCGTCAAACTGAGAGGAGATGGCAACTGCAGGCAACACCAGGTGAAGAACGCCGGGGTGTAGAGAACGACCGGTGTTAAAATTATTCTTGCGGAAGAATTTCGAAATCAGTTGGCAGTGCTCAAAGATTTTACTTATACAATTTCACCTGGACAAATTTGAGGCTGTGTTCTGAACAGATTGACACTTGCCAGCAACACAAAAAAATAGAGATTTCAACTTTGCTTTTCCAGTTCCTGGCCCAACACCGCGTTCAGCTCCTCAGCTCTAATTTGCGATGCTGTAAATGCTGATCCGTTGCTGCCATCAATCTGAGGCCACACCCGAAATTTGAGGCGTACCTTACGCCCGGAATACCCTCTTTACGTGCGGATCGATGCCCTACAGTTGTTAACGAGTATCTTTTTTCAGATACTCTTTTCCAGTTACTCAGATCTCTTTTCCCCATCGTTTTTCTCCGACCATAGGAGTAGGAACGTTTCAACCAAGTGGGGGGCGGGGGCAAGCTCAGTGTGTACTTAAGGAATTTTTTTTCTGGAAAGCGAGCCCGATGACCAGGGGAGGGGGGTAGGGATAGAGGCTGTTATCGCCCTTTATTCAAATATCATGGCCTGCTTGCTAGATATGCATATAGAGCTGTTTATCATGGTGCTCAACCCCTGCCTGTTCGACGCATCTGTCATTTGGCAAATCAGGCTATCCAGCTTCCCTAGATTATTTGTCCATTTTAACATCGTCTTTCCCGGGAGACGAAATTCCACGAGCAGGTAGGTATTTATAGGTCATTAAGGAAGCATTTTGCCCTCCACAGAGTAGATGCCAAAATACGGCATGGATTTAGGTGGTGATAATTTTTTAAGTGGATTCATGTCTCACATTGCGCCAGACCTTTTCATGCGCCTTCATGTCGCTGGCTGCTTTTCAAGAAATAAGACTCGGTGCAGCATTTTAGGCGGAAACAAATTCGGCAGCTTGGAACTGCTAGAAACAATGTGGCAAAATCCATAAAACTGGAGATTATCTTTTAAGAATCAAGCCACATAATAAGGCCCATCTGTCATATATTCCTTATCTGGGCCCTGCTCCTGTCCGCCGTCGGTGGTCACTGCCCTGGCCCAGATGTCTCCCGCATGACTGACTCCGAGCTGATCGTGCGGCTACACTTTTTGCATGCTTTTGGATCAGCGTTACTTCTGCATGGTGTATGAAACGTATGTTGGACACCTGCAACAGTACTTTTTCCGAATTATGTTCCCTTATACTACACCACCGCAGAAAAATAGCCTCCGGGAAGCTGTCTGCCTGAAGTATGGATTGGCCCAACGGACACTTCATTGCCCATCATGCAACTTACGCGACTTGATCTGCTTTTGTGTGTAGGCAGGGGCGTAGCCAGAGCCTTTCCAGGGGAACACAGGGTTGACAAAAGCTCATCTTATGGGGATCCCCCCCCCAAAAAAAACCCTGGATATGGCTTACTTGTTAGCAAGTGACAGGGTTTTCTTAGTTTTATTGTTATTTTTACCTTATAACCAGAACAGAAACCAGGAGCTACCGTGAGCTTAAGTCTGTTTGCATTTTGGGGTCAATAAGCTGCAGAAATCAGGCGTTGATCGACTGCATGGAAGAAATCGCCGGCGCTTAATTTACAATGGTTAGCTGACTTTGTAAACAGACAGAACTCAGAAGCTTTGTCAATTGTTTTTATCTGGGTTCTACAGATATTGAAGACATTGCGAAGGTAGATCGTAGATCGATATGTTTGATCCAAATTTGGAGACGAAAATTTTATTGCAAATCAGTGGTCAACAATGCGTGTTAACATCGCCAAGCCATATTTGTCTGAAGATGTTCACCATTTAGTCAGAATCGATTAGTGATACAATTCATGTAACGTGTTTTTGAACATGCTCGCTCGCAAATCTTAGCAACAAAAACCTCGAAACCAGGCGTTGCAGTCTCCAAAGTCCTCGGAGCGTTAGCCCAG